CCGACACCAATCCGTCCTAAGCATGCCTCTCAGCCACTGGACACCAGCTTGCCTGAATCCCAAGCTTCGCGATCAGGCTCTACTGCCAGCCAAAACCCATCGCCACACCCTGCGACACCCGGCCGCATGAGTCCTGGGCCAATTGGTTCATGGAAGACTAGCGCGGCGACCACAAGCTCGCTACCCCATCCCAATTCCATATCACCTTCGAGTATGAAAGGACCGATGCAGCCTGGCCCCTTTGGCATGCCTATGAGCATGCCTCCACCCGGCTTCAACCCGCCGCCAGGTCTGGGAAATCGTCTGCCAGACCCAAACATCTTTGGTCCGCCTGGTATTACCGGGTTTGGCAGACCTCCTCCCCCTCTAGGCATGATGGCCGTTCCGCCCGGTCTTAACGGGCCAGCTGGACGTGGCTTCATGCCCGGCCCACCTCCTGGCTTCCCACAGCCCATGGGCGACCATATGCAAAACATGGCGCCAGGACCCGGATCACATTCGAGACAACATTCCGGCAGCTTCGACCCAGCTTCATCGCCAATTCCAACACAGCCTATCGGCAGGCCAGCGCCCATTGGACGACCAGGTAGTGTGGTTCAGGGACACCGAAATGACGCATCAGACGACTTCACAAACCAACAGCATCTTGGCAGCAGCGTCCTGGTAGATGATGCATCGGACCCGATGAACGCAGCAATCAATGCGGCAAGGCACCGTAGCCAGTTGCAACGGTCAGCGTTTCCACTGCCATTCGACAATGGGTTTTCCAGCATCAACAATAGCTTGTGGGGACCCTCACCAATGTCATACACCGTGGCCCCCGGAGTGGGAAACTCGACATGGGGAAGCCCTACTATGATGCAGCCTATGCCTCCGATCCGTACGGCGGGAAACCCTCGTTCGGTGACGATTCGGCTCATGATGTGTCGCGCCTGCAAGGAGCTGCAAGCCCGCAACCCGGAGAGCTCAGAGTCTTTTGTTGATCTAGCAGCGGTCAAGGCAGAGGTTGACCAGCTCAATAGGACTGAGTCTGTCCCTGAAGTTGATCTGTTGGCTCTCGCCGAAACAGAAGGCAACCTGCAGAATGGTGGCGGCACCTTTGAGGTCCAGCTGGATGCAAACGGCCCAGGGCAGCACTTGATGCGATGGGTGCCCGAGTTCAACGACATGGCGTATCCTGCCCACAGGCCCGTAGGTGCACCAGGTGAGATCGGGAGCCCCATCATCGGCAGCGGCGCACCTGCTTTCTTGGCTAGAGGACACTAGAGTGGTCCGTCTAGCGAGAGTTCCAGGCCCGTTGCCTCATCTGAGGGCTCTACATCCTCGACCGATGCACTTCACCGTCGTGTCATGTTCCGCGCCATGCAGAATGGATGCATCAACAGGGCCACCAAAGGCACTTCTCGCTAGGATTAGGATAGGAAGGCTAGTAAGCCAACCCGAGCCTTGAGTTGGCCTTGATCATGGTTGTTTGAGGAGGACAATTAAGTCGGTGAAGGATGGGACTCTTCTTTTTTCGCAAAACTCAGTAATCGAACCCCTTCTTTGGGGTTGCCCGGATAGCTAGCGCATGGAGGGCGATTCCCTTCCAAGCGAGCATCCTCCGCATGGCTTTGTGTGCCTGCGTAGCGGCTAATAGAGACTATCTGCGTTCTTTCAGTATGCCCTCGTTCGTGGTCTTGTGGTTGTTGATTAACATGACTGTGCCGTTTGTGAACGCCATGACAACATTGCCGACTGATGAAAAAGAGAGAGATGAGCCTCGACTACTAGAAATGGCTCTGTGATCCATGCAACTTGCGAGTGAGCCACTCACTTACTCAAAGTACGCCAAATCTAAGCTAATGTTGAACACAACCCAACCTTCAAGACATCCACTCCCCACATACATCACGATGCGCGCTTTGTTATTGTGTCCCACCCTACACCCACAATGGGGATTTCCCAAAATCTTTTCTCTTCTCCCCACTTGGACACAGAACCACAAATTAGCAAATCCAGAACATGAAGCCATCCTGGACCTGAGGAACCCATCCAACCCTAGTATATGCGCCGGTTGCCCGGCTAGCTCAATCGGTAGAGCGTGAGACTCTTAATCTCAAGGTTGTGGGTTCGACCCGTAAGCTACTTTCCCTATTTCTCTCATGTTCTCTGGAACATGTCACTAACAAGCACTAGCCACGTCGGGCTCAATTCCCGTCAGCGATTGACGCAACTTCTCTTTTTTGATCATGTTGTCTTTGTTTTGTCTTCAATTCCATGGCTGTAATTTGTTCGAAAGAAAAACTCCTAGTCCCAAATATCGCGAAGTTCAGCAGCTTTGATTCATCTTCTTTAAGGTAGGTGCCAGCCTAGAGCAAGATCTCAAAGGAAACGATCCAAGAACATGTCTAGACGTTGGACGACTTCTCTGAAAGCCTGACTTACATGCGAGAACCTCCCATCGGCGCTCTAGCCAAGATGCTCCCGTACTTTGAAATCCCACCAGCCGTTGGAATGAAATCCTCAACCCTCAACCCGGCCTTTTCCTGGAAGATGCAAATGACATCCGACCCTCCAAACCGGAAACACGAAACCTCGTCCCCCTTCCTCACCACATCCCCCTCTGCGACAAACAAGTCCACAGACGATACCATGGCCATCCCGATGGGCAAGAACGCAACCTTGCCGAGCACCGGGTTCTCAATCACCACCAACCCCCTCGTCTGGAGGAACTGATACCCCGGGTTTTCGGAAGCGTCCACCCCGCCCATCATGCGAACCTGTCCGTCGCCGACGGTATCGGCCTCGAGGTGCGCCATGCCCTGGATATTCTTCGCCTCGAGCACTCTGCCCGACACGGGCGCGTGTTGGCGGTGGTAGTTTGTGGTATTCAGGAACGCGTGCATCCAGATCCCGCCGTCAAAGTCTGCGGCGTGAGCGCTGCCCTGGAGGAGCATGCTGATCGGCCAGCGGACGTTTTTGATCTCGACGGAGCCGTACGGGGTGATTTTGGCGACGCTTTGGTTGGCTACCGAGTTGTCGTAGGTGCAGTCTGCTGGGGAGACTATCACGCTGTCGTCATCGGGGCAGGCGATGGGTCGGAGGCCCGGTTTGAGGCGGCGGGTGAAGAAGGCGTTGAAGGTCCGGAAACCGCCTTTTGGGATTTCTGCTTCATGGAAGCGGTAGGGGGGTGAGGTTGCGAAGGATTGGAGGGAGGAAGGGGTGATGGAGGCGGGTGTGTCGAGGAATTGGCCGACGAGTCGCGCGTAGACTACGATCCAGGAGGATAGCCAGGTAAGGCCTAGCGAGTCTGGGCGGATTGGAGTTTGGATTTTGCAGAGAGGGGGTTTGGTCTAGGACGAAGTAGAATGTGCAGAGGATGTCGTAGATGTCTTTGCCTTCGAAGCTCTCGCGAGGCACCCATTTCAGGAGGTCGTTTGCGAAGGTCAGGAACGAGTGTGCGTCTTTGATGGCTAGTTTGGACATGAAGTCTGGGTTCTTGTCGCGGGCGGAGCGGACTGCGGAGTCTAGCCCTCCTGGGCTGACTTGTTCGAGGTAGCCGATGAGCATGACGATGACTGGGTTGAAGCGGAAGTACCCATCGTTGGAGGCAGATATTTTTTGGATGGCTTTCTGGGTAATACCTGGGGCTTTGCTGTCGAGGTGAGAGATGGGAGAGATGCTGGTGACTTCGTCGGGTACGGTTATTACGCTGAGTGACATGATGAGTGATCGACTTGCTATATGTCAGACTGTTTTCTGGTGGATGTAACTGGAATCAAAGAGTTGCTGGTAGAAAGTGGCAACATGCCAACCTTCAACCAGACTTCAAGGGGGATCTATATAACCTTTGGTTTCGCTAGAAGCCGATCGGTAGAATGCCAATCCATCTCAACAACGGTCCGTAGCAGTGAACCCGCCAGATGGTAAGCTACCCACAATGCGGATGTCTTGCGACAGACGTGGCGTTCGTGATGGTCTTCCCTCGGAGAACTTATCTGAAGTCGTCAAGTCGGGTTCATGCACAGCTCCCCCAGTCGAGTGATCCCCCCGGGTGCATTGCCGCATCCATATGACATAGCCTAGGGACACTGTTGAGATGGAAAAGATGGGATGTTGCCCTTCTTGACGTGAACTACGAGCTTACTGCCAAACATAGACAGTTTTACGGGCCGCCCACATGGCTGAGGTGTTGAGGCGTACGAGGCTCGTGTTGAGGCGCGGTTCATTCGTACAGGTTTCTGCCACTGCTGTGTATTTTTTGCCTACGAGATAAGTTTGGCCGGTCTTCCCATAATCTAAGGATGAAAATAAACCTATTTTTGTGAAAGAATGCCTCGAAATGCGAAGAGTTGGCGGCATCGTTGGATTTTGAAAGGGCACACTTGTGGTCCAGCCCTGGAGCCATTCTGCCGACGCCATACTGATGACCATTAATCCAGGCATACCTCGCATTGTTACAAAGTTTAATTTGATCAGACAGATTTTGAGAACTGACAATTCTGTCTCGAAGAGTGAAAACTGGTCCTTTTGACTATGCCACATCATGACAATTCCCCTCTCGATAGCACCTGACGGCATAACTGTCGCGCTGATGAGACTCAAAGTCAGCCGCACTCAGTCGAAATTGGCTGACTTTTGCCGCCATCAAGAATTGTTGGATGTTGATCTCTTGTATATTAATGGCCATTCTCGGTGCTTTATTTGTAACTGGTGCAAGGAGCGTTGCTGTTCGGTGCATTTCTCGGGATTTACTGAGAAAGGTTTAGCGCGGTGATGATTGGAAACCTCACTTCCGAAAACGGAAACTGGCCGATGAGACGAAGACCTACGCTGCGCACCCAATATGTCTTACGGATTCGTCAGGGATACAACGTAGACCTTTGCTAGGTCACCAGAAAAAGGAATAACAAAGCTTGTGATATTCAGAGCGACATTTCACAGGCTAGATTGCTAGCAAACACATCGAGCATAGTGGTAAATGCTGAAGAGCATCAGTTGATATTCTAAGGGACGCGATGCTTGATCGAGCCATTTCACACAAAGAGTGCTTGCACCTTCTGCAAGCAAGAGTTGCGCAGCTAACCGTCTCAAGCGTTGCCGCTCTATCATTGTGTCTTGTAAGAACTACTCTGAATGACACAAAGCTTCACTGGAACTCAAGACTAACGTACCTAGGTCGTCTTGTATCTCTTGACAGCCAGCACTTATAATGCGTATTTCCATAAACTTGCCGCGTTCCCAGGACCTCTATTAGGAAGATGCAGTCTGGTGAGTACGCCTTAGCTGTATCTAGTTGGACTTGCAATGCTCAAGTTTCTCGCCATAGATCTGGCGAATCTTTCACTCTCAGACTGGCCGCTTTCACTACGCCATCCAAGAGCAGCATCGCAGACATGGTAGGGCTTTCCTCTCCCCCAATCCATGGAAAATACTTAGTAAATTGAACGTTGATAGGGCCCGTTGTCCGAATTTCTCCCAATGAGCTCTCCTTTGCTTCAGTGGAGTCGTGGAAGGCAATCTACGGCCACCGCGCTGCAGGCGCAGCACCAGTGATCAAAAGCGAGTTTTACGATATCTATGGCGCAGGCTTCAAATCATTATGCATTGGTAGTGAGCGTGATCCTCATAAGCACGGCCAAATGCGCAAAATGCTCTCTGCTGCCTTTTCCACAAAGATGTTGCTGGACCAGGAAGATATTATTACCAAGACAGTCGACGCTTTCGTACATCGGCTTGGGGAAGATCGTTTCCGAACTGAGGGTCTCAACATGACCAAGTGGTATGAGATGATAGCCTTTGACTCCTTGGGCGAAATGGCGTTTGGCGAATCCTTTCATAGTGTCAAAGCTGGTAAGTAAATAGAAGTTGAGAGTTTCAAGCCTAAAGTTTTAGCTCGGAGATGGCCAAGCAGAACATCGTAATATTAATCACTTCGCATTATAGGAAAGCCACACAGCTGGTCGGAGATCATAGTCAGCCATCTATACTTCATCACACTGGTTGACAACCTTCGTCGTCTCCCTTTTGTGGCTACAGTAGCCCGCGTGCTACTCCCGTCAACTCTTGCTGTCCAAAATCAGAACTCCCAGTATAGCCGGAAAAAGGTCGAAGAGTACGTAAAACACTAACCTCACGCTTGTGTGCATGTAGCTCCTGGTTGATTGTTAACCCTTGAACTACAGACGTCTATCCAAAAAGTCAAACCGCAATGACTTTCTGTCTACCGTTGTCAAGAGTTACGAAGTGGGAGCTATCAGCAAAGAAGAGATGACTGCCCATGTGTCAACTTTGACGTGCGTCCCCTCAGTTCAAGGTCATTTGAGAATGCTCGAGGTTTTGCTAACGATATACTCATAGAATCGCGGGTGGCGAGACGACTGCGACATTCCTTGCCGCGGCAACATACTATCTGCTCCGAAATCCAGCGTGTCTACTAAAGCTTCAAACAGAGATAACGGCAAACTTCTCTTCATTCGAAGAGATCAATGCCACTGCAGCTCGCCAGCTCCCATACTTGCAAGCCGTCATCAGCGAGGGCCTTAGGCTGTATGCACCGGGCTCTCAGGGGTTTCCGCGATTATCGCCAGGCATGAATGTCGGCGACATCTACGTCCCAGCGGGTGTAAGTAAACTTGAAGCACAATCAAAAGCATGGAGTCTGATGAGAGTGCCTATAGGCTGAGGTCTTCACGCACGCGTGGACTCTGACGCATAGCGAAGGGTATTTCTCTGACCCGAAAAGCTTCAAGCCTGAACGCTGGCTAGATGCGGGATCCACAGATGTCCGCGAGGCTAGCCAGCCATTCTCTATGGGCCCTCGGGGATGCTTGGGACAAAAGTGAGTTTTACAGCCCTTACCGCTTTGTGAACGCACCCTAGTTTACAAGCGATCCCATGCTAATACGACTATTAAGCTTCGCATACATGGAAATCAATCTCATCTTGGCCAAGATGCTGTGGCAGTACGACCTAGAGCTGGTTGACAAAGATTTAGACTGGGAACAGGAAAGCCAACTACATGTGATGTGGTGGAAACCCGCACTCATGGTCCGTTTCACGCATAGAACATCTTGATAGAAGCCAACGAGCGCCTTCACAGCCGGTAAGAATCAGCCGCGCCAGGGATGTGAAAGGCCATAAGAGGTGCGAGAGTGAGGAAAAGTCACGATCAATATTTCATGTTCATGCACGTTTAAGTTTCAAATTTGCTTCGTGTCACGACCGACCAACCATCATTGCAGGAATATAGTGTCAGCCTAGCAAAGCGTGGTCGGCGCCCATGACTTTGGTCTTGGGCTAGTAATTCTTGAAGACCTTTAAGCATCATGAACACGACTGAACAATGTGAAAACACGAAAGCTTCTCCGCGAAGCCTGATTTATAGCTGCCATCTTGTTAATGAAACACACGGGGCTTGAGCTTCACCATCAGACGAGGCTTCTCCCACAACGTATGCATCCTTGAATCCCGGTGCCAGTCGAGACTCTCGTCAGCGAGCTCCAAGTCGTACCTATAGACCAGCTTCGCCATAGTTGTGTGAATTTCCATCCAGCCAAGGCTGCGACGTTTGATGATTAGAACGTGCCGCAAACCACCATATCATTATTTGGAACTCACCTTCGTCCCATGCATGATCGCGTTCCATATGAAAACGGCTGACTTGCGTCGAGGTCATCCGTTGGGTTGTCCACGAGCCACCGCTCAGGTCTGAATTCCCACGGCTCGTCGAAGTTCGAAGATGACATACTTGCCGCAAAGGTACTGGTCGAAACTGTGGTCTTGGGATGAATTTTTGTAAGCTAAGAGTTCCCAAGGCAAGGTAATGTAAGTACGCACCCCGCCTGGCAAGAAGTGACCATCAACCGTGCAGCCACCATTGGGCACTACACGGGGAAGGGCAAAAGGAAGCGGAGGATAGACGCGCATAGCCTCCTGCGCCACGGCTCTAAGATACTTCAATGGAGTCGCCGTCGCCGCAGTAATATCCTCGTAGCTAACAAAAGCTGACCGCACCTCATCCTGTAAGCGTGCCAGAATCGCAGGGTTCTTGAGCAGGTAGTACGTCATGCAAGAAAGAGTAGTGGCGGTCGTCTCGCTGCCGGCAATGCTGGAAAAGGATTATGAGTCCGTTTCATGGAGGGATAACTTGGGCGACTTACACAAAGTCGGAAGAGTGTGCTGCAATCTGGGCGTCCGATATTGCCGCCTCATTACGGGCCTCGATCATTTTGGTGAGGAAATCTTCACGGTCCGACTGTGAGGCCAGGCGACTACCAGAAAAGGGCCTTAGCGTTGCAACACAAAAAGACGGCGTTTGCCCATGGGATGTTTGCAGTCAAACCTTTGAACCAGATCCATGGTGTACTGTTGATGCGTGCGACTGTCTTTGAGAAGCTTGTCAATAAGGCCAGAAAACACTGTCTGGGCAATGCCGGCGAGGGCTGGAAATCTGCGAAAGCAGTCGGCGAGAGCCCCCATACGCAAGCTTTTGGTGACGATCGAAATCCAGAAGTGCTCCTTGCCCGACTCGACACCGCCGAAGTCCTTGCCAAAAGCCAGGCTTCCAATTATATCGAAGGTGGCGAGATTGAACCACATGACCATGTCGGTTCCTTGAGTCCCCACGTCTACCATTCCAATCTTCTCAATAAGGCGGTCGACACATTCAGCGACCATCGGTTCTTGTGACTTGAGAGACCTGTCGGAAAATGCGGTACCAAGATATCTACGCATCTCTGCGTGCTTCTTGGGGTCACGCTCGCTAACGATAGACAAGGCCTCGGCGGCGAAGTTGCCCCCATCATAGAATTCACTCTTGATGAAAGGCTCAACACCCTTGCGTACACCATAGATTTCCTGCCATGACGATGCGGAACTGAAGCTTAATTCGTTTGGTGCCACGCGAACGACGGGGCCTGGTACGATCAAAGAGTCAGAGCGAGCACTCCCAGGGTAGGTGTCTGCACGTAGGTCACGCAACTTACCGTACTTTTCATGTAGCTCAAGTTGACGATACGGCTGACGACCACTCATGAAGTTCCACGAATACAAAGCCTACATAAAAATGTGTGAGCACTTGCACGCGGCGCAGCACAATAAGATGGAGTGCTAAAACTTGCATTGCTAATTGACGCCGATTTAGGGCCCGGAAACTTTCTTAAAGGATGGAACCACCATGTTGCAACTTTGTACAGAACCACGGCGACCAACGCCTACGTGAGAGCACTCTGATTAGGGAAAAGGTTTACTGGCATGGGAGCTACACAATCAGCTTACCAGGCCAGCTATTTGAGACTTCATGTTGAAATTCTCTTGAACCTCGTTGTGAAATGATCTCTAAGCTCGCAAAAGTCGACTACCCGTCCTTCCACATATTGACTGCCACGCTCAACTTCCTATTTGTAGTCCGGGCATTTCTGGTTGAGGCAGATCCCGAAGTCTCACTCCGGCCGGGATCCCCACCTCGGACTTTTACTACTTTCAGCGACGGCGAGATACTGTGCTCATCCGGTCAGCGCACGGAGGTAAGGACTAGGGTGGCTGTACTAGAACCAACTTTTGTTGCATAAGTAGTCATCTACCTTGAACCAACAGGCATTAAACTGCATACTGAATCAAATAGCACATTGATGATCAACTCTCAATAAGACGGGACAAAAGGTGAGAGTGGCGATAAGTCCAAGTAACCGTGAATCACGTCAAACGTTGTCATACTAGCGCCTGCTACTTCCATTAATCCCTGTGTCTCCTTTGCCCAACTGTCCGCTTTGGAAGCGTACCAATTGTACCCCACTGAAGGAAACGTTCCCTAAGAGAATACTACACCGCCGTCTACAATCAAACTCTGCCCAGTGATCTGATCCGAGTCTTTTCCTGCCAGAAAACTTACCAAACCAGCGACGTCTTCAGGAGTCTGCATTTCGCCTTGATCAGTTGTCATAAGGCTTAATCGTCACGAGCCAAGACACACCTGAGGTTTTTTAGACGCAATGCGGGTCGCAACACCGTTCTCAAACGCAGTACCCTTGGGAAGTCCCATTCTAGTTGTAAGGCTGGTGTCAATGGCCTCCCACATATCGGTACGGACCATGCCCGGACAGTATGCGTTGACCGTAATTCCGTGCTGTGCCATGTCCATAGCAACAGCTTGGGTGAGCCCCCGAACAGCCCATTTACTGACGGAGTATGCTGGCGCGAATTGAGACTGCAGATTCGTCAACTTCCTTTCTGAACGTTACTAGAGTTCTGATGTGGCATACTGGTCGGTATCCTGAGATAGAACAAGCTCCGATCAACTTACCGCCTCGACCCTGCTTGATCATCTCCTGAGCTGCATATTTATAGCACAAAAAGACTCCCCGAACATTGATCTATGTCATATCAACACGTGAAATACAGAAGTCTTGGGCTAGAAACTTACAGCCTGCACTTTATCCCATTCACTGGCACTGATTTCGAGGATCGGTTTGACGAGAATCACACCAGCGTTTGCGACCATCACCTGTGGACCCACCCTGTTTAGCTCCGACTTTGACATCGGCGTATTGATTCATACTTACATCAATCCCTCCAAGCATCTCTGATGTGTTTCGAATCAAATTCGCGACATCGTCTTCGTTGCTGATGTCTGCAGTAAGAATAGCAGTCCGCACACCTCCACATTGTCAGCTAACGTGGGTGGAATATGTGAGAAGCTCATATCCATGAGCTGACCTTTCAGTTCAAGCTCATATTGCAGCTCTCTCAACATGAATTCTTGGCTAGGAAGATTGTTAATGGCTATTTGGAAACCATCTTGCGCCAGGCGCAGTGCTATGGCTCGGCCGATGCCATTAGCGGATCCCGTAACTAAAGCTGTACGAATAGACATTGTGTTATGGAGCAACATTTCCAACTGTAACTCCTTTGAGATTAGATTCGATGTTACACATGCCGTTTATATCCCCACAGTAATGCTAACGAAGTGATACTACTTTGGGGAGTTTGAAAATGCAGGCTCTTTAGTGCCGACAAGACCACGGTGTGCCGAGTACCGAGTGCCGGATTTCTCTCACTCTTGCTTTGGGTGCTCCTGGACGATGTGATCATTGAGGAAAAAGATCAATAAATAACCACGAAAGCTTTATGGCTTCCTTGACCGTAGTATATCCAAAATTGTCCATTGGACCGGAAATACGCCACCATGCCTTTATCAAAACTTCGCGTACCGCCATCTGCTTCGACCGTCAATGTAAGGGTCATCGACTCGACATCGAAGATTAGGGTGAGCATGGAGAGCATGGTTTCACACGTCATCAAAGGTCATTCGTGGCTTTCGTGTCCTTCATACGTCTTCCTCGTCGAGCACCCACCCACTGGCCGCAAAGTCCTCTTCGATCTCGGGGTGCGCAAAGACTTCGAAAATCTTTCACCTCCTATTCAGAACTGGATGAAAGAGAGCGGTACGACGTGCAGCGTGGAGAAGGATGTGAGAGAGATCCTCGAAGAAGGCGGGGTTAAAGCAGGTGAAATCGAGAGCATCATCTGGAGCCATTGGCATTGGGATCATATCGGCGATCCGAGCAGATTTCCCACAAGCACCTCGCTGATAGTCGGCCCGGGTTTCAAGGACATTATCATGCCAGGCTACCCTACGAACCCAGGGTCCCCAGTCCTTGATTCCGATTTCGCCGGCCGCGAACTCCGTGAATTGAGCTTCGCCAAGTCAACTGTCAAAGTCGGATCGTTTCCTGCCATCGACTACTTCGGTGACGGAAGCTTCTACATTCTGGACGCGCCAGGTCATACCGTTGGTCATGTTAATGCTATTGCGCGGGTGACGACCGGCCCGGATAGCTTCATCCTCATGGGCGGTGACACCTGTCATCATAGCGCCGAGATGAGGCCATCCGCATACAATCCGCTGCCCGACTCGATATCGCCACATCCGTTTCATTCGGGCAATGTGACTCCCTGCCCCGGCGCGCTGTTCAAACCCATCCTCCGAGACGAAGACACGACGAAACCGTTCTATGGCGTTCATCGTCCTGGTATGCTATTTGGCAACCCGGATGCTGCCGAGGAGACCGTAGAACGAATTATCGAGGCTGATGGAAGCGGAAATACCCTTGTTGTAATTGCTCACGATACCCATCTGAAGGACATCGTCCGGGAGTTCCCGGAATATGCAAATGATTTCTTGACCCGAGGTTGGATCGAACAGAGCAGGTGGTTGTTCTTGGAGGATTTCAAGGAGGCAGTTGATGGAGTTCATAACGAGAAGCTGTAGCATTGTCGCAAAGAACCATCTCTGGCTCTGCAGTCACGAGGAAAAGCAACATTCTTGAATTCAAAACTCAATTGGCTCCTCAACATTCTATCAAGACGGACAATTCGGAAACGTGAAATACCTGCGGGAAAGCTACACTCCTATGTTTAGTATGTTCCTCCCGAATGATGCCTGATTGAAGTTTACAGATTTTAATGAAAAACGTCGATAGGCTTCACATAGCCACACGAAAATTACAGTCTGTTGTCCGATTTTCTGTCCCAGATACCCTGGCCCTGGCGGATGACAGTTGCCTTCAACTCTTGAAGGTGTTTCTCATAGATACGACGAGGATTGGTTTGGTGCTTAATGCACAAGTGCGCCGCGGCAGCTGTTGCCAGAGCGTGGCATCCTCCATTGGCCATGAACTTGGCGTTGGATCCCCCAATGTGCGTAGTGCTGATATGTTTCCCCGCCATCATCAAGTTCGAGATATTAGACGAATAGAGACACCGGAAAGGGATGTCGTAAGGCTTTTTATCCCGCTCATCCCATTCCCAGGCCTGCAGACGGAAGTCGTACTTTTTGTCGCCTGGGTAATGTAGACAAAAGGCGCCTGCATTCTGAACCACAGCGTCGGGGAAGACTTTGTGATCGCGGATATCGGTCTCTGTAAGAATGTAGTCTCCCTTGTACTTCTTGAACTCTCCCTGAGCAGCCACAGATGCTACCCAATCGAATTCCAGATTCGCGTAAGTCTCGGGCTCCATCTCTTTCACGTTGTGGAAAGTCCCGTAGATGGCGCGCAAGAGATGGTCCCGAATATGTTCACCATTAGTATATGGATCGAGCCATTGGCCGTACTCCCAGAAGTGGGTAAGAGGTCCCTTCATCTTCATATCCATGGCAGGATCGAGTACAAAATTCGGAGGCACAACAAGAGGTCCCGGGCCATTCTCAAGACCGGGCTTATTGAGCTGACCCCGAAGATCAGAGTAGTCTTTGGCGACCTCAGTGGCCCTTGGAACAGACGGAAAGGGGGCAAGTTTGTCGCCCATCCGAGTTCGAAAAAAAAACTGTGTGTCCGTGATGCATCTCATCAGCTACTGTAGGCGCAAGGCTTTCGCCATACATCGCCTTGGACTCCTGACCAAAAAGGGTCTCTGCGCCAGTGCAGATACCAAGAATGGCTTTGCCAGAGCAATCAATGAAGACTGGAGCTGAAAGGCAAATCTCCTTTCTAGTGCGGGCATGTCGGGCCTTCACCGATGTTATCTGCGAACCGGTGAGGGCTGCATCGTAAACAGTGTATTCCATGAACGCTGTGGCGTTGGGTTCTGCATCAAGCAGCTGCTTCGCGACTGGGTCGCCGTCGAGGTCGCGATGAGAGAGCTCTTGGATGATGGAGTTGGTCATACCGCGTGGAGTGAGCCCGATCTCTACGCTGGCATTGCCGCCGAGGTAAGGACGGTCTTGAATAAGGGCAACACGATCCCCCATTCGTGCAGCTGCTAATGCGGCTGTACAGCCAGGTATGCCTCCTCCGACGACAACAACATCGAATGACCCTGCATTGTGAGGCTGATCAGGTATACCACGTAGTCCTCTCCGCCAGGCACGCGATGCTTCGTCTATTCCATTGGGCGGCGATGTGTCCTCCATGCTGAGAAAGATTGCATCGCAACGGCCGCAAAATCCCGTCAGATCGTGCAGCACCAGTCGCACGTCATCCCCTAGGAGATCTACTGTGCCAGCATACTGCCAGTGCCAATCTTTGCCATTGACGCCGAATACTGTGTCAAGCGTGTTTTCGTTGATAGTCAGGGTAAATTGACCAGGATGATGAGCTGGAACCCAGTCCTTGGCTCGAACCCAAACATTGTAACGTCCCTTTTCCGCTGATATGGTAGTTGTTGCATCCGAGACTGGCTTGCCGTTACCGTGAGCGAGGAGATATGGCGATCCCATCTCCGAGTCGAACTGCGAGTCTAAGATCCAGCTACTAAAGTCACGGAACTCTCACGCTTCCACTAGTACTCCTGAGGCAGGAAGTGACGCTATAATCGGTAATTGGTCAACAGACTCGAACGATCAATGATGAAGTAGAGGTTACAAGATAGGATAATTAACTTAATCTAAGAAACTAATGCTGTTACCTCGCATGTTATGAACATCCGGACAAACATGAATAAAGAAGTTTAAGGTGCCCCAAGGTAAATGCTTGCTCCCCCGTCCTCGGACAACGATGAAGAAGAGTTGATAGTCTCGGCTCAATGGCCAATCGGATTCACCTGCAAGCTTTAAGAGGTTCGGTCCTATGCATCCGTAAGTCAGGTACTTGCTACATGGACGGTAGTGAGTGAGGGGTCCATACCATTCCGACACTTCCAGTAAAGCACACGTACGATGCATGGCTACAGCACAGAGATCGATAATAAACAAGTACAACTTTAAACTTGTTCGAATCATTCGTCGCTTGAAAACATCCCTCTATATGGGGTTGAACATCTTGGAACGGTGCTGACTCTGTCGTGTTGCTTGCCACCGACTAGACGTAAGGCTTTGTAGTTGGCGACGGATCTCATAGATAGAGACAGCGTTTCGTAGAGGTCACAAAACTCAACAAAGCATGCCTGGTCTGTAATGTAAACGGAAACGGAATCGGACTTGGGTCGATCCGTCGGGCATATTGACTGGATATAGGCGCCGGGTCTGACGTAATTTCGGCTCCCACATCGGTTCTCACACCGCACGCTGTGTCGTTCGGCAGAGATTAGTCAAACGGCAATCTGGTCTGGAAAGCTTCAGTTCTACCGACGCTGGGAGACGCCTGAGTTTCACAAACTTCGGCTCGAGCCTCATTGAATATGAATACTAGGACAGTGCGAGACCGTGCCAACGTCGTATGCGTTGAGTGCCACTCTAGGAAGGTAAGTCGATTCACAGACATGCTCCCAGCCTGTAATACAAGCATTATCTGACTACCGAAGAAAAAGGTTAGGTGCGACCTGCAAGAAAGCCCTCTTCACGGATGCGCAAACTGTCGCCGTGCCGGTGTTCAGTGCATGTGAGCCACTGTTGTTCCGTCATGGCTCTTTCCGCAAGATTTCTGACATAAATCTCCGCTTCAGTCGTCGAGATGGCGTTCGAAAGAGCCGCAAGATGACGGCTCGGCAAAGACAGCTCATGCTGCCGAGATCGCCGACTGTGCCGGCCATGCCATCGCCCCCCAATCTTGGCACTGATAGAACGAGAGTTGAGCCGCGGATGTTGACTCCAGCTCGGTCTTCAGAGTTGAACACGCGGAACTACCAGCCGGAGGGATTCATCTCCTACGCCTCCGTCTTGTCGTACGACTCCGCCATAGAGCCGATGGCAGTTTACGATGGCCTTCCGCCACGAATTATGCAAGCCCGAGATGTCTTGGTCAAGGCCACTCAAGCGGACACCTTGCCAGCGCCATCATTGCGCAAGGCTTTGACGGACGCCTTCTTTGAATTTGCCTTTCCTTACTTTCCCGTCGTTGATGCGGATGACCTCTCGAGGGGAGAGTCGTCGATCCTTTTACAGCAAGCTGTGTGCCTCGTCGGCAGTCTTATGCGCCATGACCCCAGCAGTATGACTTTGAGTTACTCACTCTACGAGAAGATTGAAACTTTGATACATGTCGAGTTCGAAAAAGACAACGTGTTCCTCCTCAAGACACTATGTCTCTTGTCATGTTGGGCCCCAGCCTCACCATATCTTGTCACGCTTCATGGGCCGTGGCATTGGACTGGTATGGCTGTGCGGTTAGCAGTGCAGATGGGAATCCACACGCAATCATCTTACAGAGAGAAAGATAACTCCGGGTCTTTACGGCGTATATTTTGGCATCTGATAGTACGTTATTGCTACCTTCCTCTAAGCATCACGCGCCTGCGCTTCTCGGTTCCTACCCTGCACTTAGCTCTTGGTGTTCTCGTTCCATGCACTGACATTTCAAAGAACAGTGAGACACTCATGGTCGCCTGCTGGGGCCGGCCTCGTTCGTTGAAGCTTACAGACTGCGATGTTCAGCCACTTGCAGCTTCGGACTTTAAAACACAAGGGGTATTCACAACGGTCTCTTTACAATTCACCGGACTCATGAACGTGATTGGCAAGTTGTCGGAGTTGAACACCAGGAAAGGCGTACCAGTTGAATCCGAGGTCGAAACTGTCATTGCCTCGCTTTGCGAATGGAAGAGCGGCCTGCCGGACGTGTTACGGCTATACGATGCAGACGGTACTCGGAGAACTTATCACCGTTATACTTCAGAGTTGCATATCCATTATTTGACGGCCATCATAATCCTGCAGATGCTTAGCAAGAGCCGTCATGCTCCGTGGCGGACGTCTCACGCCTCAATTATAGCGGCGACCCATGTTGCCGAGTTGTACGAGGAGAACCACTACAGAGAGGATGCTTCTCACTTGCTGAGCATCAATGGCTTTATGGCTCTAGTGGCCGCAATTGTGTTGGTATTCCACCGGTCAAACACATTAGAGAAGGAAACGATTCGCAAGAATGGCATTGAAAGCATCTGTTCAGTGCTGCGCGTTATGAGCAAGAAGTATGGCGGCGCACGATCAGCGCTCCAGAGAATTCAGGGACTGCAAATCCAAGCTGAGCGGAGAGACACATCTCTCCATAATCTCCAGAACGATACTTCATCGTCATCTGCGACATGGGTGGCAATGAGCGTTAACGCGCACATCCATGAGTTACTCCCATTTCCGCTCAGTCTTGATGAAAACGTGAATATCTTGGGCCCAGCAGAAGCTGTCACAGATCGCTTGCCGGATGATCGAGTGGTCACTGCAACTACCACACCTATTGACGATGTGTCGAATGCTATGTTTTCGTTAATGGATATTCTAGAGATGGATTTCGATCCATTCGATAACACTACTAGCTTCGTGTAATATGATCACATCTTTCTCCACTGATCACTCACTTGAAATATCGGGGGGACTCCGAAATAGGCTCTAAGCATGAGCAGAAGGTCTTTGCCACTCCCGTGAGGGAACTTTGTAAAGAATGCCTCCAACCTGGGTTCATTTGTGAATTGTCGACCATGACCCCAAAAGCTTTGAAGATGCTCATTCTTGTCCCAACAAGGAGGATTTCTGATGTCCCGCCTCGGTTGTAAGGATAGCGCCGAGTGCCGAAGCTTAAATGTGCCTCTACCGAAGTACATGATTGCCGACTGTAGTGGGAGGCCATTGACACTGTAATCTAGTCATCTGCAGACAGGCACAAACGCCGCGCTAGATTAACAGAACCATATGACAAATCGACAAGACTCCGTCGGAATGATATGCAGCCGTGTAGTATGATGGCGTAGGTAGGTATGCAGCGGGTGGCTATTCTGCTAGACTTATTCAAGCAAGTGTAGATTCTTCTCTTGATACAGTCGATTTGACTACAACGTTCGTCGTTTATAAAAGAGATCATCGTTCCACAACAGAATACGATAGAATTATAGTTTGAATTCGAACACCAGTATCTCTATAAACTTGTAAACGAAACATCTTATCTTCGCTCCTACTCCTACCACAACTTTAAATCATGTCGAACCTGATCGTAGTCATTGGCGCAGCTGGTGGTCAGGGCGGAGGCGTCGTTGACGCCTTCCTCAAAGAACCAGGCTGGAAAGTCAGAGGCACCACTCGTAACACCTCGAGTGAGAAAGCGAAGGCTCTCGCCGCAAAGGGCGTCGAAGTTGTCTCTGCGAATCTCAACGATGAAGAGAGCCTCGAGAGAGCCTTCCACGGGGCCACGGCGATCTTCGCATTCACTGACTACTACGACACGTTCTTCGAACTCGGCGATGAGAAGTCCGTGGAGTTGGAGTTTGAACAGGGAAGAAGAATTGCCCGTGCGGCGGCGAAGACAGACTCTCTTCAACGACTTGTGTTCAGCGCCGGGCCTCACACGAGCAAGATCACCAACGGGGAAGCTGTCTGCCCCCACCTCGAAGGCAAGGGGCGCATCGTCTCGTATGTTACACAAGAGATGCCGGATCTTTCCGCCAAGACCACCTTCGCCGTGTTCACAGTCTTTGCGAACAACGCACTGCTCTATGATATCTTCAAGCCGATCTACGTGGTAAGTAAAGTATTTGAGTGCCCCAATAATCAGAGACATACTGACCAGGTTGAAGCCGAGCGCCAAAAAGTATGTCACCTTGTACCCAGTGCCACCCAACACGCCGTACCCATGTGTTGGAGATCCCGTCACCAATGGAGGCATTTTTGTTCGAAGACTGGTGAAGAGCCCTCCTCCTCCAGGATCCTTTGTCCGATGCAACGTTGAAACCTTGACTATGGAGTCTTATCTCGCCGCCTGGGGACGGGCCACTGGGCTCGCGCCTGAGGAGGGCTCAACCGCCGCCGTGCAGGTTTCTCCCCAAAGCTATGTTGAACTGTGGGGCGCCATGGCTCAAGAGCAGCTTTCGCAATGGCAATTCTTTCAATGGATTCAGGATCACTATCCCCCGACGTGGGAAGGAGTCACCATCGTGGAGGGGATGGATCTATTGACTGAGGAGGACAAGAAGGAACTTCTTAGCGTTGAGGAGTCTCTGAAGCGGTACGACTGGAGTGCGTTTGAGAAGAAGCCGACGGCCAAGGCTGTCACCGGCCGGTTCTCGACTTGAGGAAGTCAGGGTAGGGTTCCCGCAAGATCCAGGAAGTTGATTTGCCTTATTCAGTACCATGAAGCCGTGGCTAGCTCTTATCTGAATAATGTCTCAAGCGCATTTGTCTGTAGTGTAAATGGGACATTGTTTTGTAAAGCAACTATAGGCTCACAATATGTTATGGAACACCTAAACTGGTATGGGCCACCGGAAGTGTGGACATTAAGGTCCATGTGCAGACACTTGGTGCGCTCAGCGTCATGCAGACCTTCACCCGGCAGATATCTGCCAGTGCCTCGTTTG